GAATAGAGTAGAATACTAATAAGAATAGAGTAGAATAGAATAGAATACTAATAAGAATAGAATACTAATAAGAATAAAATGCTAATAAGAATAGAATAGAGTAGAATACTAATAAGAATAGAGTAGAATAGAATAGAATACTAATAAGAATAGAATACTAATAAGAATAAAATGCTAATAAGAATAGAATAGAGTAGAATACTAATAAGAATAGAGTAGAATAGAATAGAATAGAATAGAATAGATATAAGAGTAGAGTAGAATAGACTAGACTGAAATGGAACGGAACGGAACAGAATGGAATTCCTTATTGGCCAAGTGTGATTGGACACACAAGTAATTTGTCTTGGTTGCATCTACTGTCACTGTAGATAAAAATACAAGATACATTCATTAAGAAACATAAACACTTAATAATAGTCATAGGGCACAAATAAGCAATCAGGAAACAATCAATACCAATATAAATCATAAGGAGACCAGCAACAAAGTTACAGTCATGGAGTCATTAAGTGGGAGGAAATGGATGATGAGAAGACTAATGTTTGCAAATGACAGAATAACAAGAGTTGGAGGGGACCTTGTAGGCCATCTAGTCCAGCCACTTCCCCCCGCCCAAGCAGGAGACCCTACACCATTTCTGACCAATCTCCAGTCCAGTCTCTTCTTGAAAGCCTCCAGTGACGAAGCTCCAACAAATTCTGAAGGCAACTTCTGTCCCATGGGTTGATTGCTCTCACTGTCTCTATTAGGGTTCCAATTAACACCCCCAAGGAAAGAAGACTTCGAGGCTTGAGGTTCCTCAAAGTTCCATTCTATTAGAGGTGTCATATTGTCACATCTGGGAAAACCCGAATCTGAAAGTTTCCAGATTTTTTCCCACCCGAAAGAAAGTTCAAGTCCCTGCCCGGCACCCAACATGTCCATCACATGGTCCAATCAAGCACCATCCCAAGTGGAGATGCTTCCCAGTCACACCACTCCAGGTGCAGGGCAAGACGTCCTTGACTCTCCGAGAAAGGAATGTTATTTTGACTAGATCTATCCCACTCCATATACTCCCCCTCCCCTCCCAATTTCCCACAGCATTAAATGTGGCAGGCTGGAAGGCCCAATGCAGAAGGTGGCTTTCCAGGTCTCCTTATTTCCAGGTTGAATCTCTCCTTGATCAGTTTCCATCCATTATTCCTTGCCTGGCCTTCAGGTGTTTTGGAATGTAGGTAAAAATCAACTTGCTGGCCTAGAAGTCAGGTAGATCAGAGCACCTGATGTTTCCCCTTCAGCACTTTCTGGGGAACTAGAGTTGTGAAAGGAAGGTGAGATGGTCATCAGAGGCTACAAAATTGCCCTCATTTTCTCCCTTTCTAGCATACCAGATTTTTTATGCATGTTTGCTGACATGTCCAGGTGAAGGACGACTCAAAACCTGCCCCCTTTTTCACGAAACTCGCTGATGGCATTTGTTGCTCCATGTACATATGTATTTATAAGATTCCCATTTCCTCCTGTCTTGTACAACACAAACTTTGGATGGCTCACAGCAATAATAAAAACACAAAGAAGGAAACCGGCGGAAGGCTGGTTTCATTTGAGACGGGATTCAGAAGAAGCCCGTGTCAACAAGTCTACCTAGATCTTCAATAATGTTCAGATCTTGGACAAACTAATGAGGAGGACACCATGTTGATGTTCCTCAAAGGACAACTCGTGGTCCTTGTGGGTTATTTGATCCTGACTCCTTTGCTTCATCCCATGTCTTTTCTTCAGCCAAACCAGTGAATCGGATGGAGGGCACCACCAAACCACTGATCGCCAGGGCCGGCATGACCGAGAAAATCCTGGTGGCCACCTGCACCTCCTCCAATGGGAAGCCTCCCAGCACTGTGACCTGGGAGACTAAGCTGAAAGGCGAGGCGGAATTCCGGGAGATCCGCAATGAGAATGGCACCATCACTGTGATCAGCCGCTACCGCCTTCTACCAAGCCGGGAGGCCCACCAACAGCAGCTGAAGTGCGTGGTCAACTACCAGTTGGAGCGTTTTACGGAGAGCATGACCCTCAACGTGCTGTGTAAGTTGAAGAAGCGGAAGTGATGTGCAGCGGTGGAGTTGGGATGTAAAAGAGACGGGACTTAAAATGGGAGTGTCAAGGTTCCAAGTAGTAGACCCATACTAGACCCCCCCGTTTCCCTGAAAATAAGACCTCCCCGGATAATAAGCACAATTGGTCTTTTGAGCGCATGCACTTAAATAAGCCCTCCCCTGAAAATAAGCCCTCCCCTAAAACATTTAACCACATAGCAATAGCAATAGCAGTTAGACTTCTATACAGCTTCATAGGGCATTCAGCCCTCTCTAAGCAGTTTACAGAGTCAGCATAATACACCCCACAACAAAACACGGCCGCCCTTTTCTCACCCC